GACCCTCAGATTGCGAGTCGAGCGCCGTAACCAGCACCGTCAGGTCTTGTTTCTGGATAATGAACTAGCTTCGTTAGGCCTTGTTGCTGAATAATGAACATGTTTTGATAGCCTTCTTGTAGGATAATGCAGGTGTTTTGCAAGTCCTTGATGTAGGATAGTTTACGAGTTTCGCTTTAGTTCTTCATGTAACATAATATACATACTTTTCTTGAAAGCCATTGTGTAGGATAATGTACACGCTTTGCTAGGCCTTGTTGTTGTAATGTACACGCTTTGCTAGGCCTTGTTGTTGTAATGTACACGCTTTGCTAGGCCTTGTTGTTGTAATGTACACGCTTTGCTAGGCCTTGTTGTTGTAATGTACACGCTTTGCTAGGCCTTGTTGTTGTAATGTACACGCTTTGCTAGGCCTTGTTGTTGTAATGTACATGCTTTGCTAGGCCTTGTTGTTGTAATGAACATGCTTTGCTTGTGACAATTAATCCTTTTGGTTTGAAACCGAGGTCAAATCACGCATGCACGTTTCATTAATGTATGTCACGGTTTCCTTTAGCGAACTCGTGTAGAGAATTAACCAGAGATTATTCAGACGCCCGATACTTTAGCAAAAGCGATATGAAATGTTAATGGAAATAAAGACAAGTTTTGATTCAAACTTCTCGGCACAAATTTTAAACGAGGTTTTATGACGTATAACTAAATTATTCATAATTTATATAAAAAGCCTTGGCTATATTCAGGTGTTAAATATTTTAATTCACCATTTCAATCCAATTTTTTGTAAGTTATCTGAAGACATTTACACCTTTGATGTAAACCATACGTCACTTATGTAGATCCTAATTAAGCTTAACGATCAGAAGTTGCTATACGCCAGTGGCTCGTTCTAAATTATTAAATATCGCAATCAAAACACGTGCACAAACGTCTGTCTACTTGATTCAAAAAAGTACTTTTTCTCGTATCGAAACAATTATTAAGATGCACAATCACGAGGTGGCGCTTCTCGAAGTAACATAAACATATATCATGTGATATATCATATTTTGTCACTAAAACACTTAAGAAAATATTACATCAGCGAAGACAGATACGAAATGTAAGTACTTACTAAATGAACAATAACCTATTATGAGCAACATAAATAACACAGCAGCTTCAGTAAGGTATTCATTTATTACGCCAACATAACCACTGGAGTAGCCATTTTATCCTTCGTTACATCAATGTATTATTTTACTGGTGTATATATATATATATATATATATATATATATATATATATA